TGGGATCGTGAACAAAAATATGAGTCGGTTTGTGGAAAAGATTCCAAACCTCGAGAGTATCTACGAAACTTTCAGTGGTTTGGTACAAAATATACGAAACTTTGACATGGATAGTAAAGTGAGAATCGTTCAGCTCAAAAAGTACGAAACCCTCGAATGTTCTACGAAACCATTAATTGTATTCCAGAAAATATTCCAAACCTTTTTACAGTTTACGGAACCAGCAATGGTTTTGTGGACATATTACTAAACCTTAATGGCGACCAGAAAGTGTCGATAAGTTCCGCATAAATAATACGAAACCTTGGGTTCGTCCACGAAGCCAACAGTGGTTCAGTGGGTATATAACGAAACCTTCTGCCATTTCCCAAAACTATCAGTGGATTTGTACATGCGGTACGAAACCACAAACCACTTTACGGAACCTTCGAAGAGTTCAGGCGCAAAATTGCGAAACCTGATGAAATCTGCTGAACTTAAAATAGTTCTGAAAGGAGACCACGGAACGTTTTTCACTCTACGGAACTTAAAATCGTTCGGTGGAGAAATGCGGAACTATTAAGGTTCGGTAGAGTACCGATTTTTTTAGAGTGTAGAAAGATAATATATGCCTTTGATTTATTCGTTTTAGGTGTCTGCTATTATATATCTGTGTTTACTGGCGATAAAAAAAATGCGGGTACAGATGCAATAGTTTCTGTAGTGATGCATGGAAAAGATTCGTCCTCAGAGCAAATTATTTTGAGTGATGGGAAATTTGAAAATAACTCAGTGGATAAATTTACAATTAACGCTCCGAAAGAGCTAAGTGCGTTAACGGCACTGGATATACGACACAATAATACTGGTGTTAGACGTGGATGGTATCTTGAAAAGGTATATCTTGATTGTTGGATGATATCTTAGGTACAAGATGAATGCAAAAGTTGATATACGTAGGGAAGTGAGTGAACAGTAAGGATTATAAAAACTGTTCATGATTGGCAAGGGAAGCAGTAATCTCTTTGCAAGTTATTTGTTGAAAGCCACTTCATGCTTTTGGCGGGTGATGAATTACTCTCTGAATCATTGGAAAAGTTACGTGCGTAATAGTGCCAAAATGTTATATCATAGCTGTTCGTTCGCTTTGATATTTTCAGAAATGTATGCTGTGAAATTATGTTTCTCTAAGAAAATTTTAAGTGGAAAATTTTTAGATGTATCTAAATGTGAGCTTACTTATCTTATGAGACGCATCAAAATTTCCATCAGCAAAACTAAAAGTATGCGACCTATTCTCAAGAATTTTTCCAGAATGACCTAATCTAGTGATTAATATACAAATGAAGTGTTTTTAGGGGTGCATTGTATTTTAAAAATATCTGTTGACAAGATAACATTTCATAGAAAGATAAAAATGAATTAACATTTGAAAAAATTGCTTTTCAAAACTATGTTAATGTTGAGTTAAGTCATCGAAGCTATTCTCCAAAACGAAGAACTTACATGTCAATGCGTAGTTTATAGTTTGACGCGCATTTTAGCAATTTTTAATGTAGAAATTTTTGAAAAATTGCTTTTGTGAGTATTTTACTTACTTGAAGCCACACTCTAATCCATGAGAAAAGCTATTTGAGGATGATGCATATCAGAGGTTCAAAAAGACCATCAAGACTGTCTGCCTGTTTAAACTAGGCAGGTCCCATGTTTATCATTATTTCCAAATTTTCAATAAAACAACTTCATTTTTTGAGATGGAAATGTTAGTATACAATTGTAATACGAAGGATTTTTGCGCTGCAAGATGAGAAATGATATTTTATCAGTTTGACTTAACATAATCATGACTAGTAATAGATTGTTACTGCATTGCTGATTCTGCATTTATGTAGTTAGCTTATCTATCTGTTGTTGTAAGTTATTAGCCGTGCTTAACATATCCTGTTTAAACTAGTGCATCAAATTCATTGCAATGATTTTTGCATAAAAAACGAGTTTTTTCTAAATGCTAATTTTATCTTTGTTGTATTTACTCAACAGTTACGTATTACATTATGTCAATCAATCTTTTGCTAAATCATGCTATTTTGGTATCCATGACTTCCTTGTCTTTTTATTATGACAATTTACTACTTTTAACTCAATTTTTATTCTCATATTATTATGAAAAAGATAATTATAGGGCTCAAGAGCCAGACCAGGCCTAGGAAAAGTAAGCCTGTTTGAATCTCTGGTATCTACCCTTTTTTCCTGTATGAATGATGTTTGCACATCTAATTCAATTCTTATCAAATTCGTTTTGTGAAGACTATCTGAAACGATTTTTGAAATACATAGGACAGAAATCTTAATCTTGTCCTCCACAGGGTACGACAGGTTATTTTATTAGTTAAATTAATAATTAATTGCTCATCAGATATTGTGACAAACGAGGTGTAGTGACAATATCATATTTCACATTTTTAATCTTCGTAATTTTAATAGAAAGCAAAAATGATGAGCAAAATTTCTGATGAAAAAAATTAACTGTGGATAAAAATATAAGGATCACTGCAAAACACCTAACATGTAGACTCGATGGCCGATTAGTGATATTCGAGCGAAGGCTATCAGCGAGAAAATAAAAACTGATGAATAAGACTATTTCTGTTGACTTTGAGATTTTCTAAATTCTATTTGTTATTCTCAATGATAACTGAGACTGCATTCATGTGGTTTTTTTCTAATAAATATTCGATGTATGAGCTCGTTTTTTCGTACTGCACAATATAAAATAGCAGGCATGTATTGTACAATAAACATTGGAAATAAACCATTAACTATTTCAGGTTGTTGTTGATTGTCCAAGTACCGGTATTAAGCAAACATTTCCATGCAATAATTGGTTAGCTGACTATGAAGGTGATAGACGTATTGAGCGTCGATTAAAAGAAGATTTATCATTACGCAAAACTTATCCACCAGGTAAATAAACTATAGAGTATTTTTCATCTAATTCTATTCGTCTATGTAGCTGTTCCATGGTACGTATGGGTACACACAAGTGATAAGAAAGGGGCTGGTACAAATGCGCAAGTTATTCTTGTTCTTTATGGCCATGGTGGGAAATCAGCAAATATTAAATTAGAACGAAATTCAGATGCATTACAGCAAGGTCATTGTGATCAATTTAAAGTTGATATAAATGATGTTGGTATACCATATAAATTACGTGCCAGTCTTAACAGCAAACATTCATCTCATTCATGGCATCTTGATAGAGTATGAGGGAAAAGAACTTTTATTATACTTTTTTATCTTATGGAATTGTTAGATCGAAATGGAAAACCTTAAAACAAAAGAACACTATCGATTCTTTTGTGGTAGATGGTTATCGAAAATAGAGGATGACAAACAAATCATTCGAGAATTACCAGCACAAGGCCCAGGCATACCAAAACCTTTGCCAATTGTTACATATATAGTTGATATATTTACTGGAAATAAACCTAAAGCTGGAACTGATGCAAATGCTTTTATTAATATATATGGCGAATTGGGTGATACAGGAGGTAATATTGCAGATTCGATTTCAATAAGCTTATAATAAGAGTGATTTTTTTCTAGCACGCCCATTGGAGTATTCATTACAAAATAAAAATAAATTTGAAAGAGAACAAGTAAATAAAATTTTGCAAACATCCAAATAAAATTTCTTTGTTTAGGTTGATAGATTTATTATTGACGCTGTTTTATTAAACAAAATACGAAAAATTCGAATCGGTCATGATAACACTGGTTAGATAAATTAAGAAAAGGATGCGTTCTTTTATTTATTGATCTTATCGCCAAATAGGAGCAAATCCAAGCTGGTACTTAGATAAAGTTGTTATCTATCAAGAAGATCAAAGTTACGGACCATTAACATTTATCTGTGATAGGTATTCAACAAAATTACATTATCTGAATAAAGAAAAATATTAATTATTTTAGATGGCTTGCTGTGAATGAAGATGACGGACAGATCGTTCGTGAGCTCACACTAGCAACAGATTTACATAATACAACATATCATGTAAAAATAAAAACTGGTGATGATTTGCAAGCTGGTACTACTGCTGATATACATTTACAAATATTTGGTGAGAAAGCTGAAACAGATAAAATGCAATATACATCTGTTAATAATTCAATTCGTACATCTCAACCTGGACAATTCGCTGGTTTTACTTTTCAATATCGTGATCTTGGCAAAGTTTGTTAGTTTTTTTTGCTAAGCTAGGTTGAATATTATAAATAGATTGAACACATACGAATTGGACACAATGGAAAAATATCTGGTAAAGGATGGTTTCTTGATTGGATTGAAATAGATGTACCACATCGTCGAGAAATATATAGGTAAAATTCATTTTATACAGATTTTAATGTTCTATGAGTATACCAGTAGTATCGTCAAACTTGAAACTAAAATTCAATTGAAAATGTAAATTTTCTACTTTCAATTGATAGTAATATATGTGTGAGCCACGATTCTTCAGCATGCTATAGGCTTAAAATTTGAAAGCTGAAAATTTAAATTTTCAATTGAATTCAAGTTTCAAGTTTGACATATCTGCTATTTTTAACATAGCAATAGTTTACTAATCAGAAATGATAAATCCGATAAAATAGTTAGATAAGTTTTTCTCTTGGTCATACGCATTAAGTTTTTTCCGTGTTTTTCCATTTCGAAACGTAGGGACTGGCTCCGGCCGACTTCCTATACTTTCCGACAGAAACCGGCCGGAATACTGCTTTTGCCTTCTAGCAATTTTCTACATATTTTCGAGGGGTTTCTACAGTATTCTTTCTTCGGAATCCTTGATTTAGGTACACAAAAAGCCAAAATAGCAATCTCTGTATCATTCGGGGAAAAAATCTTTTTTTTGACGATTTTTGTATAACGGTTTCAGCATTCTGCATCCGTTGTACCTTGGATGCAATATTTATCAAAGCAAAAAAATCTATACATCCATGTTTGTTTCTATTTGTTACAGAACATCGCTTGAATCTTTGTTGGGAGAGGATGCTAAAAGATTTAAGGGAAGTTTTCGTGCTAAACTACTCAAACAGTTTGGCAAAAATATCTAGACGATTTGAGTCAATTACAATTTTTACCGTATTTCAAGAGACGCGTGCATAGTGAAAGCCTCATTAGATTTGTTCTGCTTTTTTCGAGAAAGTTCAGAGAGAAAGGAGGCCAGCTAAACACGATATATCAATTGTATACGAAATCAATTTTTGTATAATATACTTGTTGATAGATACGAATCCCATTGAAAGCATGTTGATAGCGAGAAAAAATTCGTATGTCTTTCTCTTTTATGATACCATCATGAGAGATTTTCTGATAATTTGACGACATCAACCCTCAGCATTTCAAAATTTTCAACTTTGGATATTTTTATTCTAAGAAGCAGCATAATCAAGAACATTTATGATTACTTTGAAAATTTACTGAACAAAACATTTTCAAACCATTTGCTAAGCATGATGACACTTATAATGGCAATAGGAAAATCGTTCGATCTCCTCATAAATACGCGTGGAAACTATGCTCCTCTTATGGTAGACACAGTTATCTAAGTGCCAGCGAATGTAATAAGTCTCGAATGAAAATGATCAATGATTAGATTTCCTTTTATATAAAATTTATATTGATCATGTTTTCTTTTTCACATTTATAACAATCCTTTGTGAAGCTAAAATGTGAGAAGCACGACCTCTGTTCTGTGACCTAACCTCTTTCATTGCTGCTGTGTAATAATGGTAGTCCATAGGTAATGGTTCGTCAACTAAATGGATAATCATTTTGATTTGTTTCGTGTGTTCACTGTTAACGTGAGGATTGCGGAAAAATGTGACAACCTGAGAATGTATTTTATAATTACACATTTATTCAATTTGTTTTGATAAAGACAATGCTTGTATTGTAGGAATTTCTTAGTTGCTAAAATACTACGTTATAACGCAATTTCTCATTGCTACCGAAAAATATTAATAATACATCGCTGTCATAAGCTAGCGGGAGAGAAAGAAACGGTTAAAAACTCGATTCAAAATGATATGCAGTATTATTTTGTTCGAAAATCTTATACATGACTTTCAGTACTTTCACTATTTTTAAACTAGAACTATTCATATTATCTAGTGATATTCATTGAATTTCGTTGCCTCCTTCGTGGAAACTACACTTGTAAAAGTTCATGCAACTTTGACATATTTTCAAAAATTAAAATTTACTGCCACCTATCTGAGTGAATTTCTCATCAGTAGTGTCTATTATCTAATTTAATCGGCATATTTTATCGCAGAATTCTTCATTCAAACGATTTATTTATTTCATGTATATTCTGTATTCCAATAGATTCGCCTGTCATCGTTGGTTGGATACAAGATTAGGTGACGACGGAGTCGAGCATGATTTTAAACCAACTGAAATAATAAAAACAAGTAAATATTCAAACGATTAATTAATTATTTAATTATCACTAAAATAATAAATATTCTCTATTTTTATAGTTATCCCTTATGAAATAACCGTTTTTACTGGTGACAAAGTAGGCGCCACTACTAATGCGAAAATATTGATTCAAATATATGGTTTACGTGGTAAAACCGATGAAATTCTTCTGGAAAATAAGTTCGATACATTTGAAAGAAACTCGGTAGAAACCGTTCTCTATTTCTTTTTCATTTTTAAGAACTAATTGTTATTAAGATTGATAAATTTGTAATTGAAGCTCCAAACGTAGGAAAAATTGAAAAAATTCGAATTCGTCATAACTCAGAAAAAATACCTTCAGCATGGTATCTGGAAAAAGTAAGATTTTATTTCTTTGTGTTTTTTTGCGCTTAAAGAATATTTTTATTTAGGTCCTTATTCAACAATATTTAAGTGAACCATTTTATACAAGAGACAGAAAATCTGATCCAAACGTGGAAGAATATTGTTTTATTTGTCAGCAATGGTTTGGAAAAGATCAAGTTGGTAAAGAGACGATTCGAGAATTTTCACCTGATAGTGGATTTGGAAATATGTTATACGATGCGAAAGGTAATCAAGCAGTCCGTTTGAACTGAATAGAGATGTCTTTTTTAGGCATAAATTACCTTGTACATGTTTTAACTGGTGATCAAGGTAGCACTGGCACATCAGCAAATGTTTCTATTCGTTTAATTGGTTCTAAAGGTCAAAAAACACGTCTAATACCATTGGAAGTAATGCAACATCGGCGTTTTGAACCAGGAAATGTTGAAACATTTCTATTGGAGGAACCTGATATTGGTGACGTAGCAATGGTTGAAGTTCAGCATGATGGTGACACTCTAGGTGATAGTTGGTTTCTTGATGGTCTAATTGTTGAAATACCAGCGCAAGAGCGAACATTTTACTTTGTTTGTAATGAATGGTTATCAAAATATAAAGGAGATCGAAGAACGAAACGTTTACTTAAAGCACAAGATTTAATTAATCCATCATTAAGTTCATGTAAGATATCGTTTGTTTATTGAATCAAATAATTATTTCTTTTTATTAGTAATTCCATATGTAGTAAACATTCACACAGGGCACATTCAAACGGCTGGTTGTGATTGTGATGTTAGTTTGAAATTATTTGGTACAACTGGTTCTTCTTCAGAACATATTTTTAAAAAACGCGAAGGAAATTTCGAACGATCAGCTATTGATATATTTCAGGTATACTATAAATTTGTTTATTTTTACTACATTTTATCTTTTGTGTTTGAGTCTAGTGTGAATTAGAAGATATTGGTAAACCAATTAAATTACGTGTGAGAATTTTACCAAAATCTATACAAGGTCGAAATAGATGGTTTTTGGGAAAAATTCAACTTATTAAACATATTAAACAAAATATAAAAGAAGAAACATATTCTTTTGAGTTTAATGATTGGATATCCCATGAAGCCTATCCATATTTTGATATTCTTATAAAGGGAAGTATAGAATCATCAATGGATCAAACAACTTATCGTGTAATAACTAAAACCAGCAATTTAATCGATGCAAGTTGTGATGCTAATGTGTTTATTATGATTTTAGGTATGAAAATACTTAAAGCATATATACAATGATCAATTCTGTTTTTAGGTAAAAATGGTGATAGTGGCCAATTAGCATTAAAAAATTCATCAGCATTCGTTAATAAATTTGAACGTGGTCATGAAGATATATTTACATTTGAAAGCATTTTAAATTTAGGTCCATTAAATAAATTACTGATATGGCATGATGATTCATCGGTACTAAAAAGTGCTTGGCATTTAGAATATGTGCGGGTTGACGATATAAAAGCAGGACAAACATATATATTTCCATGTAATAAATGGTTGTCAACGAAAAAAGATGATGGACAAATTGTACGGATATTAGTTTGCAGTAATCAGTTAGATTACGTAATTGGAGGTCATGCACACATAACGAATGGACTGATTCCATATAAAATAGAAGTTTCTACGTCGGATCAGCCAAATTCTGGAACAACAGAAAATGACTGGATTATTGTTGAAGGAAATAACAACAGATCAGAGAAAATATTTTTCAAAAATACAATCGATAATAAAACTCTACGACGGTAAGAAACTTGTTTTTTGAATGTAATATCATGAGTAGCAATAAAATTAATAGTGGGCAACCGGATACGTTTACCTTCGAGTGTCAACCTCTCGGTGAAGTACGCCGTATTATTGTGGGTCATCAAGGAAAACGCGAACGTCCATTTGAAAAATATAACGATGGTGACGCTAGTTGGTATGTTTCGCATATTACTATAACTGATTCATCTGCAGGCATCAAGTAAGCAATAATTATTTTAAAAAATTATTTTACATGCATATAAATAAAAACTAGATATGAATTTCCAGTCCAGAAATGGATTACTATTAATAATGAAGGTGATGTTTTTGATTGTGCTACCAGAAACGAAAATTCTATTGAACAACAACCTCATCGCCGTAAAATAAATTACAAAATTATTGTTCATACTGATTCTACATCAGGTCCCAGTACAGATGCTAATGTGTCAATTATAATTTTTGGTACTCTTGGTAATACTGGTAGTTTACAGTTAAAACAGCCGGGCCAACGTTCATTTCAACGTGGTGGTGTTGATGAATTCATCTTTAAATGTTTAGAATTAGGTAAGAAAACTTTTCGTATTTATTTTTTTCATTCTATTTTTATGAATGTAGGAAAGTTAAAAAAACTACATATTAAACATCGTAATTCTGCAGTGTCATCTGATTGGTTTCTTGATAAAATTGAAGTGATTAATATGGATACAAATGAAAAGGTAGCGTTTCCATGTAAACAACGTCTTGGAAGAAAGCATGAAGATTATGAAGTTCAACTTGATTTAACACCCATTTGAATATTGTGAATTTTAAAACATTTGATTATTTATTTGAACGATTAGATAGAATAATCATGACTCAAACAAAGGACGAAGGACGTCTTGGGGTCATTTCGGTCCAATTCGAAAAGGACATCGGTTCAGTCTGAAAATTTGCCAAACTGCAGAGCGCGTCGTTCTATATCATTTCTACAAGTTTCGATTTGGTCCAATGTGCATAAGGTCAGCTGCGGCCTTGCTCGTGTGAGCAGCTTTTAGGTGCAGTGATTCAATTTTGAGTCGGTACTTTTTGAGCAAAAAAGCACATGCTTTATATACCATTCGACACAGAATATTATTCTGAACAAAACTATGTCTAGAAGTTTTAGTCAGAGTGGAGGATTTCTTGGAAAATGTTAACAATGCTATTTAACGATGGTTATTTTCTGTTAGGTGTAGTAGCTGTTGTTACCTCATTTTATTGAGACCCGAAGTCATTTTTTTGACCATTGATAGAGCATTCGAAAAGCTCAAAAATGATGGTTAAATGACGACCAAAACGGCTTGCCCTCTGCTTCTTAGCACTGAATCCACTGAAATTGACATGGTAATTCGCGATTGTCTCGACCAAAACACAGCATAATTGTAACATAAACTTCATATTCGATATCTACGGAAAAAGTTATCCCGATTAGGTGGAATAAATATTGAGAATAGGGAGTTTCGATTTTTTGCGAAATCTCACCTCTTAATGCATGTAAATAGGTTTTATTTTTATTTTGCAATTTTATTCCACTCAATCGGCGTAACATTTTGCGTAGATTCCGAATATGAAGTTTACGTTACAATTATGTTGTGTTTTGGTCGAGAAAATCGCGAATTGCCATCTCAATTTCAGTGGATTCGGTGCTAAAAAGGAGTAGGCAAGCTTTTTTGGTCGTGATTTAACCATCATTTGTGAACTTTTTGAATGTTCTATCAATGGTAAAAAATGGCTCCGGGTCTCAATAAAATGAGGTAACAATAGCTACTAATATTGGTGGGCCAGCGTGTCATATGGAGGTGTGGCAATAATTAATAATACCGATTTTTTTAAAAACAAAGCCATGTTTTGGGTACGGCATATGTATATAAAAAGATAGACATATCCAGGGGTGTCGCGAGCAACGAAAACTGGGGACTGGGTAACTTATGAAATTCTACTTTTCAAAAATCTTGACGGGGAATAATCAGTGCTGCCAGATCTTCCTAATTGTGAAAGTTTTTTGGCATATTGTCTACACTTTTTCTTCATTTATTCGGTTTTTTCGAGATTTATCCTGCTTTTTCAGAGCTTCTCAGCATTTTTGCAGGGCTTTTTCTGGGATTTTTTTCGAATTTTTTCCGGATTTTTAAGTTTGACTTTTCGCCACACTAGGGTTAATTTGTAAAATTGTGTTTAAGGTACGTTACTATGCTTTTCATTTTGTGAAATATAATGCAAGACAATTTTTGAATATTTGAATCGGGGCCCCCCCGTCTCATCCCCCAGCTGTCGCGACACCGTTCGATGTATCCACTAATAATTTTTTAAGTGCAACAATCATTTTTTCAGGTGTGGCAATTGCCACCAATTGCCCTCTGGTGGCCCGCCGATGGCTACTACACCTAACAAAAAATAACCATCGTTAAATGGCATTGTTAACATTTTCCAAGAAATCCTCCACTCTGACTAAAACTTCTAGACATAGTTTTGTTCAGAATAATATTCTGTGTCGAATGGTATATAAAGCATGTTCTTTTTTGCTCAAAAAGTACCGACTCAAAAT